AAGACAAACTGTGTGCAAAACTTATTATATGATTATACCCCAGTTTTCAGCGAAAATACAAATTCCTTATTTTCTGTATATGTAACAGTATTACCTAGCTAATTGTGATACCATTTTGGTGGAGAAATGACATCATTGTGTATGTGACGTCACAATAGAAATCAAAGTTGACTTGATCAATCGGCATGCACTTCAGCCAAACATCGTTTCACGGCGTATCAACTGGGAACTCATTCAAGGTCATGCATGTAAGATTTCCCTATATCAAATGAACATCACCAGTACAATTTTGATTCCCAATAATAGATCATGTGCAATGCTATTTACATCAATCGCTTGAGTAAGTAGAGAATTAAACCTTTTCTGTTCCTTCTCCTTAGCTCTTCAAAAGTTCATAATTAACATCATATAGGGATTCTTATAACCAAAAGCTTTCATTCATTGAAAATAATAAACAGCAAAAGTGCCAATTTACGTATTTACCACCTCCCTCTCTAACTATACTAATTTTTTTTATTACAACTTTCCAAACGGTTTGTGATTTGTTTAGCTTCAAGTTTTGATGCAACATTTTGCTAAACCTTTATTGCATAGAACCCAATGTGCTTGTAATTATCATTTTCCTCTACGATATATTCATAGTTCAATGTACTTGTAACAGAAAGTGCATACTGTTATTCCTTCAAATGTATGTAAATCTCGTAATCTCAACAGCTGACGTTGCACGTTTAAATTTATCCTGACGAACACACCTAACAAGAATCCTGAATCCGTAACTAATCAAATACAGATTTAAATGTTAATGAAATACATAATTCTAAGGTTGACGATCGCTTAACACTTTAATAATCTTTACCCATATATAATGTTGCTTACCTTCTCCTCCCGCATTTTCTCTGCCCCGGCCATGGATATCGACTCGAGAATTTCGTAAAAGTCTTCTTCGTTCATTGTTGTTTGTTCCGAAATACTGTCTCAACGATTGTCCGCGGTTTAAATACTCAAAAATCTGCATTATTATGTGTTTTTTCGCGTTATTACGAGTTTAAAATTTACGTTATTACGTGATTTTTCGCGTTATAACGAGTATTCAGTTTGCGTAATAATGCGTTTATTCGCATTATTACGTATTTTTTCACGTTATAACGCATTTTTTTCGCGTTATTACGTAAAAAACACGTTACTTTGGGTTTATTTGCGTATTTACATGTTTTTTTCGCGTTATTGCATGTTTCCACGTTTTAATTTTTCTGCTTTGACACCATTAGGCTTTCGTAGTATTGGACACAAAAAACAACGAAATTAAATCTTTATGATCATGGCAAATTATGCAATAAACATGTTTAAATTGCTAAGAAAATATATTTTACCGGTTTTTAAATCACTTAAAATTGATTCAACAGACAGCATATATACGTAGAAAGTTTTAAAGTATGAAATATAGACTGAGATTGCAACTATACAAAATGAACTTGACAAAATTTGATATATTCTTTTTTTTGTGAATTTTAAAAATTTTTTAAAACATTATTATCCTAAGTTATCAATATGCTTATATTTTTATGCAAATATAACACATGTAGTATCAAAATAATGGATATTTTATGTACTTTCGGCTGGTATATAGATATTTTCATTTAAAATTCTCATGTAGCAAGCATTTGTCATTGTGTTAGGGTACCTTTTTTACTCAACTTGGTAGTATACAATGAGGTCCAGTATGACTATAAGTAGTTATAATGACTAATCAATTATGCGGCTGTAGGTTATTTTCATGTATGTACATTAGGCTTAAAATAATAGGAATCTATGTGTTGACCAACCTTTCATTCTTGTAATTGTGATCTGAACAATTTTCTACAATATTGCCATTTTGATAACCATTAACCACTGATACTGAAAGATGACCACATTGCTGTGGTATTAGATATACCTGGGGATGCCACATCCATCATTTAATATTGACGACAGCGGGTCTTTGATTAACTTTCCGAACTATAATTCCTAATCAAAATATGACGGTACAGCGCTGAGAACTAATCATCATGGTCTTCTGTATCTATATACAGTGATATTGGAACAAAACAGTCCATTTGACACTACGGAAATCATATTTTCTTTTCTTAATCAATATCATTATTGTTCCTTACCAAACAACGGAATACCTTTTACCAGAAAAAAAATTTATAAATAGGTAATTCAATACCATCACCAGCTAAACCTTTAGCATGGAAATTCAAAACAGCTTTTACATTCTTACTTCCTTTTTACTTCTTTTGATGTCGTAGTCATGTTTATTAATATCAGTATCTGCCTGACCAAGAATGATCAGGAAAACAATTGTTGTCAAATCTGATGAAGCAGTATGACATTTTCATGCACTAACGATCAATATATGCTGCTTAAATGGCAACATTAGTTAAGCAGTGCTATTAAATCAGTTCCGATTACACAGCAAGAAAGTAGTTGTACACAGAACAAAAATTCAAGTTGTGATTCGGAAAACCACAAGGAAATCATTGGCTAGTTCTCACTCCCTTTCTTAGACTCTACCGTATCTTATTCTAAATTATATCAAAAGGTGCAATTCACGTTGGTGTACAATTTTCAAGTGCTTATTTCTTTGTGAAATGTGTCATTTATTTTATTTAACTATCAAGAAAATAACATGTTGAAGACAGTTTTCATAACTGCGAGACCAGTAGATCCGATATTTCCAATTCACCATAGAAGTATTGATCAAACAAATCATTCTTGTTCTCATATGATAAACAAATCATATATATTAAATATGCCCGTTCGTTGACCAAATATGGTCTTATTCGGGCGTTGAATCAGTAAACCAATCACACACTTGTAACCCAATCACGTGACATGACGACTGACATATCATTAATGGTATATAACAACAATTTCTTAGTTCACAGCACTGTTCAGGTTTTAAACTTTTCAACAACAACGCTCATCAATCATAGGTATTCCATAACCTTTCCAAGGTAAGCAAATTAATTTATCTTTTCTGATTGATTATTTTGCTGAACTGTATTTATACTTCATAAATTTGTTTTGAAATGCACTTTTCACTTTAATGTGTTTCGCACAATTTTGCTGATAACTTATGTGATATGATAACTACAGGTTTTACAAAATAAATCAAAATTTCGAATAAGTACATAAATACATGTATAATAGTTTAATTATTCAGTTATTCAGTAAAAATACCTACTATAGATAATTAAATGACGTCATATATTCGCAAAGTAGTCAATACTTCAAATTTGACGTAAAAACGTTAAGATTTAGTACAGATTTATACACGATATTAGGCTCCATTACTTACGATTACAAGCAAAAATTAACAACCTCGTCAGTCGTTATTGTATTATCGTTTGTCGGCGATTACAAATAATATATAATAATGCCAGTATCGTAAACTGTAAATTGTAACATTATATTTGATGATGATACGAAAGAAAATATCGGCAATCGATATAATCATAAAATTATAGATATTATACAATTATTGTCAAATTAATATCACCTATATAACAATGTAATTTATTTATCTGCGATTGCGAAACAACCTTGTAGCATGTATTTAACTCTCTTGTTGGTTCGGATGGAATCGCGCGAGGGGCGCATAAGTGACCGTACCTTGTCATATCCAATCAGGCAAGGGAACCCTAGTTACTTAAGTGAAGGCGAGTGCGTTATCACAACATCGATAACTCCCCATTGACCTTGATACGTTCAGCGTGCTTGTTATGATGAGCGTCTTATTTTGGTATGATAAGCAAATATGTCAACGGTGGGTACAGAAACCTAGATATATCATTTTTGTAGAATGCAAGATTCTAATGAATGTCGCGTTTCGGTAATAACGTTTGTTTCGATTCGTGGCAGATATATCTGTTGACACTTTTCCGTTAAGAAATTATTGGACAAATTACACGATGCAGTCACGACGTTCCTGTGACTTTTCGGATGGACATACACTTCAAGTCAATTTGAACAACAGTATGACAAACACAATCACTTAGATTTAATATTAATCCATTTTTTCTGTCGCGAAAAAACCGTTAGTTTTGATGTAGGCGATCTCTGGTATGCGTTGATATGTATACCACCAGATTTAGTTTTATATGTTTTTTCGGTTCGACTGTGATGTCGAAATTCCAACGTCTAAAAAATCAACGCGTCATATATATTAATACTTGAGAACTGGTATGTACACTTGTTTTGGATTCTTTTGCACAAGCACTTTACTTACGGCATAAATGCGATATAGCAAGTATCCACCTCCACCTCCACAAAGAATGAAAATACATCATACAGTTGTCCGTCCTTCTAGGACTTGTCGGTGATGATAGGGGCCTAACGTTGGCAACCTAGGATGCGACCGAGGAAAAGTGGGCGAAATATATCTTATTTTTTCAGCAAAACGTCCTGTAGATTTGTATATTCTGAACCGTGCTGCTCGCTTTCTCTTCTGTAAGACAGTTTTACCACATATCTTGACCGTGTAATCGTTATATTTTAAAATCCGTGCATTGTTTCTGCTTGCTTTCCTATATCTTCTCTATAAACAGAAACCAAACATTTTCATCGGTGTAAACAACTATTTTAAATTAACTATTTAACTCAATGGCCTGCTTAGTATTATATATTCACACCTTCTTGGTTCATATTACCTTTTATACAGCTATGTGCTTCGAATAAATGATCATTTTCCTTTTTCGACTAAATTCACTTCTTTCTATCTATTTAATACGGCATCTTTCCTTATTCCCGTTGTCTCATGCTGGTCATACATCACAAAATTGTCTCCATATGATAATATATAAGACACAGGTATGCTTTTGGACGTTCTGCAGCCTTATTTGATAATCATACCAAATTAAAGACTCGTCCTATCAAACTCGGTGGACCTCACGTGTGTGAACGATACAAGAATTAGTTACAGAAGTTGATCACAATTTTAATTCAAATTTCAGTTAACCATGGCAGACAGGAACCTCGGTCAACAAAACCAATCATCAAAGATATTCAATGGAAGTAATCCGCTCAACAATGGTACCAATCCTGACGACCTTGTCTTATCTGAAATTGAAAATTACATTTACATGATCCTTTTCCCTACCATATCGTTTATGGGAATTGTTGGTAACCTCTCATCGTTTATGATATTGCTAAGACTTTCCAATTTGTCGTCATTCTACATGTATCTTGCGTGTCTTTCTTTATCAGACGTGGTGGTATTATCAATAGGCGGAATCTACCGATGGCTGATGATGACCGTATTGAGTTTTGAAACCAATGGACCAATAGTTTGCTCTGTGCCATTTGCCTTCTTGATGCTATTTTCTGCTTTATCTGCATGGATCACAGCGACTGTCTCTGTCGATCGTTACATAGCTGTCTATTATCCTTTTAAAGTCAACCAGTACTGCACTAGAAAGCGAGCATTGATTTTTGTCGTTTTGGCGTTTCTGTTACTGCTCGCCATCAATTTTCCTACGATTTGTTATGAATGGAATGATGATAATTCATCTTGTATCACACCAGAATTCACCAATGACTATTGCCTTGAATACATCAATTACATAGATTTGTCTGGATACGTTGCAATCCCCTTCTGTTTCATCTGCATTTTCAATATTTTGATTATACGGGGAATATATAACGCTGCTACTCAGAGACGCAGACTGACTTCAGTCGGCCATCGTACTACCTCCATTATAAAGGAGTCCACCAAAAGAACAGTGAAAGTGCTATTCGTAGTTACAACATTCTTTACCGTCTGCTACCTTCCATTTGCTGTTGCATCTTTCTACGGGATATTTTACGGTAAAAGTTGGTTTCAGGTCAAGGAACAGGTGCCACTAGCTGACGCTATTATACACACAGCTATTCTTATGAACCATGCTTTCAATTTCGTTCTGTATGGAGTGTCAGGACAGCAGTTCCGAGAGGACATTGTCGCTCTATTTTGTTGTCGACGTGCTTTGTCAAGGTGAAAAGGCACGATATCAATGACAGTCATATAAAAGGTACGCACAGTGCATTGGCGTGGTATTTTTTTTCTCTATGTAGATTTATATGCCTTGGTATCATATTTTGCTTAAGTCAACATATATTAAATCAGCATTTTCGTGTCATGTGTTGTAAGAATAGATACTGAAGGAGAGGATGAATAACGCAAAAAAATATCTCACCAGGGCCTACTAAGAACAACCCTCTAGATATGTTAGCTGAGGTTTATGTGTTGTGATGTGACATTTCGATATAAACAATTAATATGAAGCTATACATATATTATCATTAACTGATATTTTACTACAGTATATATGTACATATGAATGTTTTATGATGTAATAATTCAAAACAACAAATATTTAGATCTTTTTCATCGTGAAGTGATAATTTGCTGCAGTGAAATATAAATTTGTATTGTTGTCAAGTAATGTTTTACTACATGTAGATACGCGTGTGCCGTGATGTCATACTTAACAAATAAAAATGTATTACGTCAACGTTTTCGTGTCATGTGTTGTAAGAAAAAAGTTGAAGGACAGGGCGAATAACGTTGCCAGAACAGAAGAACAATGTCAAGCTGAATTGTGGGATTAATGCAAAATAATGATTAAACACAAAACAATAGAATATTGAAAGAATAAAGTAAAAAACAATAGAAATAATATTGCTCTTTGGAAAAAATCTTTCAAGAAAGAAGGTAAAACATGATGAGCATCCACGCATGGTAACACAGGAATCAATAAATGATTTAGAAAACCAGTTAAATGATCTAAACCAGGATAAAGCCAGGAGTGCTCAGATAAGAGCAAGGGTTAACTGGATAGAAAATGGGAAAAGTAACACCAAATACTGTTAGGTATGGAGAAACAGAGACAGGTAAAAATACAATTACACAAATGCGTATGGAAAATGGTGAAATTGAGAAATGTTCTACTCAAAGTTATACAAATCAAACAATCCAGATAAAATTGAGGTAAGTAAATATATGAAAAATTGTAATGTTGAAAATGTGCTTGACGATGGTGAAAGAAAGTGTTGTGATGGAGAATTGTCAATGAAGAATGTGAAGATGCAGTTTTACCAATGAAGTTAAACGAAAACCCGGGGAATGACGGCCTTACGGCTGAATTTTACAGAACTTTCTGGAAAAAATAGATAAAACAGTAGTTGGAGCCCAGCATGGTTCTTATAGAAGGGGCGAATTCAGTACTTCTCAAAAGAAAGGAATAATTTCTCTTATTTACAAAAAGAATTATACGCTAGATTTACCGATCACTTTACTTAACACAGATTAAAAATAGCGGTTAAAACATTAAATACTAATATTAAAGGATGTGTCAAGAAAAATAATTGGTCAACCGGAAGCTATAAGATATCACGTGGTATCAGATAAGTCTGCCCTCTATCTTGTTTATTATTTGTGATTCCGGTGGAGCTGCTGGCCTGTAAATTACGTAACACAACATATTACTGGGATATAAACATAAATAATAAGTATGTTAAGGTATCTCAGCTAGCTGATGACACGACGTTGTTCATGGGGTACAATGAAGTGGAAAAGGCTTTAAAACTGGTTGAAGAGTTCGGAAATGTGTCCGGTTTGAAATTAAATAAGGATGAAACAGAAGGAATTTTTGTAGGATCTAATAAAAAGAAAGGTACCTGTTACTATGGTATCAAGTGGGTTAAGATGGCAAAATCATTGGGTGTTTATTTTGGAAGAAATAATAAAGTATGTTCCAATCTTTGTTGTGAAGAAATAAAACAGTATTGACCTAATACTTAAGAACTGGAAAAAAGGAAACTAGCTCTATTAGGGAAGTCGATTATTATACAAAGTTTAATTATTCCAAAGATAACTTTTCTTGTCAATGCAGTGGGAATAGATAACGATACAATGAAAATATTAGAAAAAATGATATATGAATTTATATGAGATTAAAAGCATGATCGGGTAAAGCGAGATGTAATAATTTGTGACTTCGATAAAGGTGGACCAGGAATTAGAGACATTAAAGGTCATGTTAATGTTACACGTATTTCATGGATTAAGCGATTACTGAACAAAATGAAGCAAACTGGAAAATTATACCGAGATTTTATTTTGATAAGTTTGGTAAGAATAATTTGGTGTCTAAAATTAACACAGGATCTATAAAACTTTTGCAAAATATCCGCGAATTGCCTTGTTTCTATTTGGATATACTATGTGTATGTTACAAAATACATATAGATAATGGTGAAATAAAAAATTACCGGGAGATAAAACAGCAAGTGATCTGGTGTAACAAATATATAACACAGAAAAGTTTATGCCTGAAGAAATGTATTGACTCGGGTCTCATATCTATTAATGATATTGTTAAAGGTGACGGAAAGATTGACGACAATTTCATATATCAGAAACTGAAATGTAAGCGTAACTGGATAGCTGAAATATCATCCGTAAAACGAGCAATACCAAGATTATGCTTAGAGGAATTGAGAACAGAAAAAATCAAATCAGTTATTCAAATTCAACGAAAGGATGTCTATGTGTATAATAAATCTAGATACAAACTGTTATATTTAGAAAACATAAGTAATAAAGATGTCTACACGATACTGAGGGATCACAAAATACATATAACACATACCTTTGAAGCATGGAAAGATAAATTAAATTTAACGGAAAATATGTGTTGCTTTTTTTCAAACTTTTTTTTTTCGGATTTATCTTCAAGGTTCTAATGGAGAACGACGAAAAAAAATTTCCGGTGGAAATTATTTCATAATATAATTCCCAAGGACATTTTATTAAAAAGATGAAACATTAAGACAAACGAAAACTGTCACAATTATAAGAACCCGGAAGATTATAACCACTATTGTATCAAATGTATTAGTGGAATCATATAAGAGCTACTCTTGACATATAAGATTATACTATGAATTTAATAACCTTGAAATATACACTGTTTGGATATAAGATTATTTATCCTGCTTATGATGGTGTTAATACTATATTGTCTCTAATTGGTTTTGTTATACACAAATGGTATCACCCAAGTGAATCAAGAACAACATATGTTGATATAGTAAAATTATTTAAGTATGAACTCAGGAAAAATCTTTATTTAAAACAGTACTGGAAAATGTCGTATCTATACATTTTTTGTAAGTTGATAACTTCTGTTAAAATTCTGTGATCAAGGTTAAATTACCACTGGTTAATTGTGCGGATAGCTCAGTCGATGTGGTAAGAGTCGATACGACCACCACTGAAACAGGGCTCTTGATAAGGCTGTTGGTAACAGAAAATTGAATACTTTCCTTTAGCTACAAATGATCAAAACTAGCTACAAAGAATTTGATATAGGAAACAGAGTTTGAGAAACAAATAAAAAATCATTTTCGCACTGTGATGAGCAAAACTGAGAAAGTTACGATAATAGCAAATGTATGTATGTATGTATGTATGTTATGTATTTATGTATATATATATATATATGAGTGTGTGTGTGTGTGCGCGCGCGCGCCTCGATATAAACATATAAAAGATATAAAACGAAATGTACTTTGAATATAGGAAATGATCGAATGTGAAAGCTAAGCGTTACATGTTTGAAGGTCGAGTAGTGTAATTACTTTTGATAACTGTCGGTTTGCTGGCTGATTACGTCAAAAACTTCTCTGCTCTGAGTGCCGGAAAAAAAAATCTCAGGAATAGAAAATTGTGTCAGAAAATTATAAATGTGTTTGATGTTCCTTTATTTTACCTGTTGGTTCCGATGATGTATACGTTGTTCTCATCTGAGATGTGACATTACAGGGATTCTCCAGGATTTTCCTGGCGGATGCCGTCAATGAAGCAGAAGACGCTTACTCTTTCGAAACATCTGGTCTTAATTTCCTTGTACTTTTTCAGATCTTTTTTTTATTGTTTCTATACTAGAGAGATAAAGAGACGCAGGAACTTTGAAGATGATTCTAGGCAAGACGTCGAGTATAATGTTCAATGTTTTAAAGTAAGAATGAAGATTAATTCATACAGAAAAAACCGCAAAATCTACGATTTGTATCTGGTACGTGATTTAGGAGTCATTAAAGGGTATTGAAAGAGAATTCTGTAATCTGAAATCAAAATGAACTGATTGTGGGAGCTGGCTAGTCAACACTGGGCATGTTTCCCATTCGCTCTCTCCACAGCCCTGATTTTCTTAGGCATGGAGTTCATGAGTGAGTTTATCCTCCTCATTGGGATGTTGTCCCATTCTTCCAAGAGGGCTGCGTTTATTTGGGCCAGAGTAACAGGAGGAGGCTGACGTCGTCGAACCTGTCTATCCAGCTGGTCCTACAAGTGCTCAATAGCGGATAGGTGAAGGCTGTACCGCGGCCATTCCAGTGGGTGGATATTGTTGTTAGTGAGAAAGTCGTGACAGATCATCGCTACATGGGGCAGAACAATATCCTGTTTGAATGTCAGGTTGTTTTGCTGCAATAATGGGACAACATGGGGTCGGAGGATCCCATCGCAATACTACGCGGCAGTTAAATCATCCGCTTCCACAACCAATGGTGATTTAATTCCATGTGAGATTCTTCCCTACACCATAATCGATCCACCCCCAAACCTATCCGTCTCTACTACGCAGCAGTCGAAGAAACGTTCTCCATGACGTCGGTATACATGACGTCGGCCATCTACTGGAAACAGGGTTAACCGGGACTAATCAGTAAGCAAGACCCTGCCTCCATTGCCTCCATGGTAATATTCTGGGAACATGTGCCGCCACTCAAACCATACGACGCTACAAACGGGTGATGTGCCCGGAGACCAGATTTCTGCATGAATAGGACTGTTATGAGTTCCCATGCTCTAACAAGATGTTATATAGTGCAAATATTGACTGACAACATGTATTTGCCTTTGACATTGCATAATCATCGCAATGACCTGACCTATCTGAACTTCCGTCAACCATGTCACTGTTTAATGCTA